GACCAAAAAACATAAGCTTGAAAGTTGCACACAAGATTTGTTCAAGTCAGCTGACAGCTATGCAGAGAAAGTTGAGCAGACTCAGAATTTCACATCTATCGCAAAGTTCAATGTCATGCAAAGATCTGCAAAGGACAAATCCATAGAGCTATCCAAATTGGAAAAGGAGCTGAATGCTAAACTAAAACTGAAAAAATGTTAACATCATTGTGTTCTGTGCCATGTGCAACAAAGACCACAAGTTGTAGGAGTTGCTAAAATATGTAGTCTTTTGTGAAAATTTCTCTTTGTAGTTCTGTTCATTAAACCATTATACTTAACTTCACAGGAAATATGCAGTAGTCAAGAATTTTTGTGAGATTAACAAATCATGAGTAGTCTAGAATGTGTAGCAGTAAGAATTAAAGTGTGTAATTCAAAATTTTCAAGTATAGTAGAACTTCAAGCTGTATAGAATGCAACACAAAATGTGTAACATGACCAGGTCTGCATTCAGTTGTGTTTTAGCCTTCAACAATTTGATTTCTTCACCGCTTTCAAATCATCCATGTGACATGAATTATTGGAAACAGCTGTAGTATTTCTTTGAACATCTCATCTGTCAAACTATTAAAGATAAATAACAAAGTTTGTGTTTTTGAAATTGATGTCCATTTTTGTGTGTGTGTACACGCCAGTTTCAGTCCTTAAAACATCTCTACATAGCCCTGGAATTTTTTTACACAGATCTGTGGGAACCCTCTTAAATTCCTTGAGGTTTCTCCAATGTATTCTTTGTGGCAATTATTACAGGTAATAGAAGTAAATTCCTTCAAGTCTTTACTTGTTTTGTTTTAAAAATCTTAATTGTTTTAAATGGAATTGACAAATTTTATGTTGAGTTTAGATGAATTCTTTCCAATTGTAGTTGTGATACAGTTAATAGGTAGAACAATATTTTTTTTTTTTGATTTGTTGGGTTTATTAGGAAGGGCTACTTTCTATTTTAGAATATTTTATGAGCCTTTTGTTTTGCATTGAATATGAAATAAGGTATTGGGGGTGGTCTTGAAAGTTTTTTCAATGTATCTCTCTCTTCATGTAATTCTTAAGGGCTGCAAAATCTGAGTCTTCTTAAGTAAAATTTGATGATTATTCTGGATTTTATTTTATGATGGGAATAGAAATTTATGGGATCATTTTTATTAGTTGATCTGTTAAAACTGTGTACCATGATATTTACAAAAGGTGATGTATTGTTTTTTCCATTTCATATGTAAATTCACTTGTATTTTTGACTTTGTTTATTTTATCTACACAATCAGGTAAATCAGTATCAATATATCAGAAGTATGTTGATTGTTTAGGTAAAATATTTTAGAGAGGACCAGATTCAGAAAAATTCTAAGAAAGTATATACCATCACTCCACTTGGGGCAATTCCATTGGTAATGGAAATTTTTGTCTATAAAATTAATATTAAATGTGAAATTTATTTATTGGTGATGAGACTGCAGATTTTTATTTATTTTAGCTATTGATAGGGAGAGATCTTTGATTGTGTTAGATGCTTTTTAAGCATTTTTCCAGCAGGACATTGGTGTAAAGGGATTTTATCTAGACTGGCTGAGAGTTTGTCAGTCATATTTGTTTCTCTTGATTTCTTTTTTTTTTTTTTTTTTTTAATTAGGTTGCCTGAATTTTTTATGTGGTGAACTGATTGTTCCAAGAAGAGAGGTTAAAATTTTTGTTATGGTTTATACCATTTTTTTTCACTGTCTATACCTGAAATAATGGGGCACATTGGAATGACTGTAGGATTTTGGGAGACTATAAAATTTGAGTATTCTACGATGATATTCTATTAGTCTATACCATGATTTGTTTTAATTTTTAATTAGTTTCCTAATCTCACTCACTCACTCTCTCTCTCACACACACACACACATAAGAGAGAGAGTGCATGAAGGACAGAGCATTAGCACTTCTAGATTTAGAAATTATAACTTCAGAAGGAAGGAATTCATCTCTATCTATAAAAGGCAAAATGTGTGTGTGTGTGTGTGTGCAGCCATGCATTCATTACACACAATTTTCAAGGGATTTATACCAAAATTTACATGCACATGCTCCAAGTTAGTGGGAAGGCCAAGACTGACTTTGCATTTCCCAACTCCCATGGATTGTGGAAATAATCGATTTTTTTCATGCTTCTACGGCAGTTTTCATGTAGTTTGCAGCCATTTTGTACTGGCCAGAGTGAGAGCCTATAGTTGGCTGCCACAAATAGGCAGGAAGATTCTATTGGCCAGCGTGAGAGCCAACAGCTGACTGACATGAATGTTAACTAGCATGCAAAAAAAATCGATAGCTGCATTTGTCACAAGTGGGGAAAATTTAAATTGCATGGCACTTTACTCCAATTGGCTCATTTGCTTGGTTAAACTCAACGTTCATTCTCATTCCGCAGAACCGGGTTGGGTGTTAAAAAGTATTTGTTGTTAACATTTTTTCATTCGGTTTTTCCAGTTAAGAGTTAGGCAAGAAGTGAGGCATGTAGCAACATCAGCACGGCAAAAAGGTAGTAGATAGATTGAAGGACATACTGAAAATATATTCATTTTCTCATTTGATGAGTACAAAGAAAATAGTGCTGAAATCCACTTGGGCAAAGTTGAATTGTCCAGCATTAATTGGATGTGATGTGATTTTGTTTCGCTAGCTAGGACCAATGGACAGTGTATGGAGAAGGGCGCTGGCCTTGGCCAAGGACTAAGAGACCACCCCAAATAGCAGATAAGAATTTTATAATGACATTAAAAGTAAAAAAGTAACACCTGTTTTGTGTCTGGCATTCACAGATCGGGTGGAGCACCTATTCCTTGGATGGTGAGAATCTGATATGAGGAATTGGGAGTAAAATGAATATGTCCACTGAAAGATGCAAGGAAGGAAAAAGGAAGAACAAGATGGCAGATCAACATGTTGCTCCACACGCACTCCATCCCTTGCAGAGGGAGCTCCCCATATTTGGACATACAAAGACCACCCAGCAGTACCCACACTTGATTGGTTGATAGGAGATTCGAAGCCATCCCAGAACAAGCCCCCAACCCCAACTCGTTTTTTGCAGGTTGGACTCTATAAATAGCCATATATAGATCCCAGGAGTAAGAAGTGAGAAAAAAGATTAACAGAAAGAGCAGAAGTTGAGGCAGAGATGCACTTCCATTATGCCATGTGATTTGCTGACATGAAGAACTCTTGACTCATGCCTTGTTCAAGACTATTAGATAACTTGAGCAGTGCCCTGATGAAATTGCAAAGTGGAAGAATTGAAAGTAACAGATTCTTATAAATTTGGGGGGCTTTCACCATGTCATCGGAATGCTAAATCTCTTGTTCCTTTTGTCCTCTAGCGTAAATGTTCAACACATAGCTTACATACTTCATGCAGGGCTCACAAAGTCTAATTTTAAAAGTAAGTCAAGTATGCTCCTTTCACAAAATCACCTTTGCTTTGTTACTCTAAAGCTTTCACAAATATAGAACCTGAATGATTCAAACATTTTCTTCAAGTTCAGGTTATTCTGATTTATTGTATTATTTTAGAACATCAATCTGTAAAGTAAAAATAAAATGTAACAAGTCTTTAGTAATCTAACACTTTCACCCCCAGCACCTCAACCTCCAGCATCTTACACTCGGGGTTGAGGTGTCTACTCATCCTAACCGAACTTAAGTGAGTGGCCATAGGTCCCCTGAGCATCCATAGATTATTCGACCAGTCCACTGGTTTAATCCTGCTTCCTGCCCACGTGATTTGTTTGATCCAGAAAGCAGATGTGATGTCCATCCATTTATGGTCGACTGAAGATTTAGACACGGCTGGGGAGTCTGCGCTAAGAAATTTAGAATGCAGCAAAAAAAAAAAATAATATCTGCAGAAAGCTGGACAAACATCAATTCAATAGTTGAACTGGTAATGTCTTTTATATAGCAGAAAAGAATAGTAGAGAAGAGAAACAGGTTACAGAAAAGAAAAGTTTAAAAAAAAAAAACTCATACACTGGATTCTAGACAAAGAGTGTATGTGATTATCTTGTTGTTAAATCGTCTCAGAATGATATATGACTCTTGCGATGGAGGGATAAAGATTTCTGTGTGGGGCTTAGTTATAGTGTTGTTCCTCCTCCCAATGCTCTCTTCAAGAATTTTCTCCCGTCTGTCTTTTGCAGCATAACTGTGTGTTTATATAGATAAACCAGGCTGATTATAACTGACTCTCGGCCCTACTACTTCGCACGCAATTATCACGGGGCTCTGGCTGCTTCAGTCAAAATCATGTGAATTCCAAAGTCCCTTCTAGCTTACTCAGCTCTATTTCAATTTTTAATTGATAAAAATTATTTCGACCATTTCCATTCTTTCTGATGACCCAGATTCAATGGGTACAAGTTCTGCCCTAAATCAGATTTTCTTATCGGTAAACAAAAAATGCTCTGATTTAATTTCGCTATTCAGATCTACTCCAATTTCATTAAAAAAAAATGTGTGTGTGTGTTTCCCAGAATCTCTCTCTGTCACAATAAGTCCATACTGTTCTTTAATGTATACTTACAAAACTCTAAACTTTATGATCAAATTTTTACATTATATTGCCTATACAATACAATGAATATATGTAATGGCTATTCTGAAATATATTTAGATTTTTAGTTAAAATTGATATTCTTTAAAATTCAAACATCCAGACGTCATGCATTAGATTTTATCAATGTGTCATACAACAAAAACTTGACATGATAGGCCAAAATGGATTCCATTTTTTAAATCAGCATCCTCAAATTAACCAAAAACAAGGATTTTTCATACTATTATAGCATTGTGTATATTGGTGCATTACTTCTGAGCATTTTCTTAAGTTTTCAATGTTTTAATTTTCCAATTGCAATAGTTATAAAAAAATGTTAATGTTTAATCTGTGCATATCTATGTATAACAGTTTACTTTATTTCTAGGATTCCATCAGACTGCCACCATCCATTACGTAAACCTCACCGCTGTCACTTTGGTAGTTGTCCATCTTGTGATGAAGTTTGTGACAAGCCCTTGACCAGCTGTGGGCATAAATGCCCAGAACTTTGTCATGATGTTATTAAAGTCAAAAAGAAAGTTAATCCAGTAAGTACATATTCAATGAAGAAAATTTTAACCTAACTGTTGATTTCTTTGATTATCATTTTTCTATATCTTCCATGAGAAATTTGTCAAGTTCAGTAGTTTCTAATTTATTACAGATTCTATATTAAATATTTGGTAAGAAAATAGAAACCTTTTAAGGGATATATAATTAACAATTTTATTTTTTTTTTAAATTATGAGAATTTATAATTTTTAAATATTGAAATATAAACACAAACTAATACATCTTAATTTTATGAAGCGTATAATAAAAGATCACTAATAATCATAGCACCATACAAATTTCATGTTATTTCAAAGCCTATTTGTCTAATTTGGACTTCCTTTTCTTTCAGCTGTTGTATGCAGGGAACAATAATATTCCACAATTTGATATCATTAAAAAACCCTGCCCACCTTGTATAGAGCCAATGAAGCTAGAATGTTTAGGGAAACATGAGGTAACAGTTATCCATTTCAAATTATTAAAATTTTTGTTTATTATATAAGTGTATATTATCAAAAATTATATATAAATTAACTAAAAATGTATAGAGTTAAATTTCCTAAGAATGAGTTTACCTTTTAAAGAATCCGTGTCATTTCATTAATTCAAGTACATTGTCTTAATATTTATACTATGAAGCTGACAAGAAGAACAGAAGCTGAATATTTTATATTTTTTCAACAAAAAATCATATAATCATAACTAATAAAATTCTGTAAAACAGAACACATACTTATCTTTTAAATATTCAACAAAAATCTATAAAAAAAAAATTCACATGTGCTTTGTTATATTATCTAATTTTGTGATTTATAAAATTACTCGAATTTAAACGAATATATATAATGGCCATATTCTGTCAATAGTGTTTGTATTAATTCCTGAATACTGACAATCATTTGTTTCCTCATTAAGAGAATATTTCTATAAATTTTTTATATATCAGAACAATGTCAAGAAATTGATAACAAAGTGTAAAAAATTCTGTGTGCAACATTTAGGATTCATTGGGCTAAAGTAATGTTTTTGTTGATGGAATTATATATGTGTAGGGAGGGAGAATATAAAAAGGCAAGTCTTGGTTATAATTATGCACAGACAAGAAATGCTGAAATTTTAAACTTAAATTTAAAAAAAAAAAAATTTAAGATGTCCAGGTATGTAGTTTAACCAATTTCAATAGGTTTCCTTATACGTTGCTTTTAGCTTTTATTATTAAGTATCCCATATTGTGATAATGAAAATATAATTTTCTACACGCGCCACACACACACACACACATATATATATATATATATATATATATATATATATAGTTATCATTAGAGTGAATGAATATTTTGACCTCACAAATTGCATAAACAGCTAGTTAATATTTGCACAGTTATTTGACTTTACATTTTCATATTTGCTTTTGTTCAATTTTAGATAAATGAATTTACTTGCTCTCAGCTAGGCCCATATTCTTGCAAGAGGCCATGCGGGAAACAATTAGCTTGTACCAATCATACTTGCACTTTAGACTGTCATGAAGTCATTGATGCTCCTGATGAGAAAAGTGTAAGTTATATTTCTGTCTGTTTTCATACTCTTAGCACAGCATCCTGCTCCACCATGTTGATATGTGCGGTGTCTTTTATCGGCTGCAACCAACATGCATCTTCAATGATGGCACCATTGGCATAAAGTGCCACTCCTACAGCCATTGAACTCGCATCCACCCACATGTCCAGCTTCCTCAGGTTATGCACCACTCTCCCTGGGCAGGATCTAGTTGCTTTACCCAGGCAAGCATATCCATTATCATATGTCCCAAAGGAGCATCACTGATTATTTTTTTTTCATCTCAGTTTTGTGTGACAGTAGTGTCTTGACGTTTGATGCAGCCATCTATATACAGGAATGTGCCCCACCAGTTTGCCACATGGATAAAAATGCCTCTTCGTGTCATGGTCATAGGATCATTCACCACACTACTTTCTTATCGTCATCGCAATCGGCCATGCTCCCCCCAAACTTCTAGTCCCAGCACTCTGGCACCATCCTGAAACTTCTTCAAATCCTTGTTATTCCATCCATACAATTCAAGATGCTTCCTCATGGATTCTGCCAACACCACATCCTCATTTTTATATATATATATATATATATAAGAAAAATTTGGAAAAAACAAACAAAAATCCTTAAATGCAATTATGTTGTTTAAAATGAATGAAATGTTGACGTCTGACGTTTCGGTTTGATAAACCTTCTTCGGGACAATATTCATTAAAATACAATTGTCCCGTTCAATTTATTAAACCGAAATGTCAGACATCAACATTTCATTCATTTTAAACAAATATAATTGCTTTTTAAGGATTTTGTTTGTTTTTTCCAAATTTTTCTTCATTCTGTCGGATCTATATCTATTTACATTTGCTTATATATATATATATATATATATATATATATATATATATATATGCCAATGTTTCTCTCTTTATTGTCTTGTCCTATGCTAACACAGCCTCAAGTACAGACAGCATTATCAGTGACACATTCAGGCTGACCCCTAACCTGGTTAGACAATATCTCTTTCTTTTAAATATAACTGTCTGGTACAGCCACAAGGAACTCTCAACGTGAAACTGCAGATACACTTTCCTGAGGTCCAGAATGGATACATTCACACCCTACTGTCTTCATTTTCACAGTTTCTCTGCAGCATGTGTCAACATGGTTTTTTAGTTCGTAATAGTCTATTACAGCATGGACCTTATGTTTGTTGGTCTGTAGTACGGCCATCAGCAGTATCAGTCCCTTGGGCAGGCTAAGCTCCTCATCTATATTCGGTAGCTGCCAACCATGTTCATACTCCTCCCTCAACTCTCTAGACACCGGATATTCAGAGATCCTGTTCCCAAGTTTAAATGGTGCCTGACCCACTGACTACTTCCAGACTGTGACCCACACTCTGTGCCGCTCGTTGAATTTCACACTAAAATCAGTTTCATTGATTGGACAATGACAACGGGTAGCACCAAGTTCACCTGTTACCTAGGGAATAGACCGGCGCTGACATCTCTTCTCCAACTTCATTCCCTGGACAATCTCTGATCAGGTGACCAGACTTGTGGCATCAATAACAAGTGGTCTCCTCTTTCCGCATGCAGTTCCTCACACAGTGATTGCGACCATTGCACTTATAGCATGTAACAGGCAAGCTCACAGCCGTGGATGGTTGAGCAATCCAAGCAGGCTGTGCCACAGCAACAACCGGTTCCTCCACTTAAGCTTTGTCCTTCATAAGCACCAGTGCTCAGGTCAACAGTTCCTCAAGAGATATATCATCCACTTTGGTGGAAGACCATAGGAGCCTCTTCATGAGGCCAGGAAGCACCCACACAAACACGCATGCCATTGCACAGTCTGGGATTCCTCCAAAAAGGACTGACAACTTAAAAATTAAAATCTGCCAAATATACATCTACACTCACCCAGACACAACACACTTCTCATATACCGTGAATCTATCAGCGGCAAAGGTCATGATTAGTGCTTCCTTGATTTGGACTGTGGATTTCTCATCCTTGGTCAGTCAGTTTTTGGTAAACTGCAAATGCTCCCCCAGTCAGGTGAAGATGGATGACCTGATCAAGTCACTTCACCCCAGCTAGGTCGCACACTTATTCCAACTTCTTGATCCAGTCAATCACAGCTCCAGTCCTGTCAAATTCGGGAATAATTCTCAAGTCAAACTGGCCATCTATCTCTGCCGTAATAGCTTGTTGATATTTAATTTTCTTAGTCAAATTAATGAATAGCAGTTTTTACAACACCAAAATCTCACATCTGCTCGCTTCCACTTCCAACTTACTGTTTCAAAATGACCAATTCCCAAACACTCAATCTTACGCTTGCGCCTTGGACCTCTTGTAAATGGCAGTTTGGCAGGCCAAACACCTTAGGCGTTTTGGATCAGGTATGTGTGAATATCTATCATTACAGATATGTTAATATTCATATCAAAATGGACTAATATTGACAACCACTCCACTGTTCTAATCTTGATTTATTATAAAAAGAAAAGTAATTTGGCTTTTTCTATGGCTTTTTTTTTTTTTTTTTTAACCCAGTGTCTCATAAGGAATAGAAAAACCAAGTGGAACATTACCAGTAAACATTTTTTGATCACTTTTTCTTCTGAGAAAGAAAAGTTTCATTACTTATATGAATATCAGTTGACACTATATTGTATCATGTAGGTGGTACTCATTTGTGAACTGTTTATTCCTAGTGGGTAAAAAGCATTAGTTTTTGGTTGGTATTTGGTGTTACTCTTTTTATTCTGGCATAATGTTTTTAACAGATTTGTATCAATGCTATGTTGGAATTTTTTTCTTTCCTGTAGAAACCTGTATATTTTTTTTGTTGAATAGTTTCAATTCTATATGAATAATTTTTGTGCATGCAATTTACCTCAGTAAGAAACTTTGTTTTTGTTTTTTACTACTTCTTGATTCTCTACTTGATCATCTGTGTAAGTGATTGTTTCTATTTTAGGCTGGTTCCAACTGTGCTAAATGTGAATATGAGTGCCTCCGAAAACGTCCACAAGGCTGTAACCACATCTGTTTGCTACCATGTCACCCAGGAGACTGCCCTCTTTGTGTACAGATGTTTCGTATTCGATGTCATTGCCGAAGCATACAGAAACACATTGAATGTTTCAAGTGGTCATCTACTGATCAAGATACACGTAACAATTTAAAATCATGTGGACAAGAGTGTCCCAAAATTGTAAGTCCCTATTAAAAATCACTTTTTTAGCAGTTGATCACAAATTTAATTTCTTTAGATTGTTTTTCTTAAATCTCTTAATTTAGCAGTTTTTACAAATTCAAATATTCTAAATATTGATATTTTCATTATTCATGTAGAATGTTTTAAAAACGTCTTTTTAAAATAGTTATAATTATTTTCATTATCTCTTATAGAAATGTGTAATTGCAGTCACTGTAAAAACAATGCCTTTACCTGAAACTTTACACAAAATATTTTTAACTGTACAAGTTAAAAGTGACTTCAACGCTCAATTTTATTTTTAAAAAAATTCAAAATATTAACTTTTGTAAAACAATATAAATATATTTTCCTTTCAGGCATCAAAATTTCTCTCATTGTATCCAATTTTTCTAAATATAAAGATATTAGTAAGGACTTAAGGACTAGATATAAATTATTTGGAAACTAATAAAAAGTGAAACTAAAAAAGCCTAGCACAGGGGAGAATATGACCAAGCACTGTGCAATCTATTCCTTGCAGTTGTGGCAAAAAATATAAAGGTAAAACAAGCCTATGTCTAGTTCTTATTGCTCAAACTTGCAATCACTCTCACCAAATTCACAGACCCATGTTCTTTCTTTATTAGCAGCTCTCATATCATATTTATTTCTATGCTAGGCCTAATTAAAGAGGTCCTCATAGCCTAGCATATGCACTGATACTTTCAGATGTATAACTCTCCAGTGTTCTTCCTTGCCCAGTATTTTCACTTCATTCTACAGGGGCTTTTTCCCCTCTATACATGATCAACCATGCCTGATTTCATTGTCAGATCCTTCATTAGGGCTTTTTGATGTTCTTTCAGCTGATTATTTTCTTCCTTTTTTTCCATTGTGAAATGGATCAGTTCTTATTGAGTTCACATTGTCCAGCAGAATTTTGACAACTTCCCGAGGCATTCAGATTATAAAAGTGTCATCTATGTATCTCTGCCATACTGTTGGCTTTAGTGGTGCTGTTCTTATAGTCATTTCCTCAAACTCTTCCATATATATGTTCACCATCAATGGTGAACTCATAGTCAAGGCTCCCTCCTGTTAGTATATGTCAGACTCTAGTTGAAAGAATGTTAACATTTCCATCAGATTATCTATTGGTGTCGCCCTCAAATTTCCCTGGTCGTCCAAGATGTTCAATACTGTGAATGATTGATAAAGTGATCGCTTCAATTTTGGACTTGCCTTATCCCACTTTGTGACATGATTTTGATTATAAGGCGGCTAAGATCAAATCGTCGAAGTTATCCTCAAATCAGGCTGGTTCAAGCAGGAGAATAAATAACACCCGAATAATGTAAAAATATCCTATTTTTATATTCAGTTCTTCATACAATAGTTGGTTAAAAATGTAGAAGCTTGCATGCATTCAATTCTCAACCTAACCCATTTCTAATCACACGTGACACTTTGGTGATTTTGGCAAAATTCATTTTACTGGCTTGGTCAAGTTTGGCACAAGGCTGATGTCAGAGGTCTCATTGGCAGATAGTCACGTGTGTTGTCTCATTTCTGGTGACTGGAACAAACTCCTGGAATGATAATAACAACAAAAATGCAATTTGAGCTCTGGTAAAAACATGCAATGATAACAGCAAAAAATTCCAATATGAGCACTGGTAATAAAATGTTGCTGAAGACATTAGGTTTATAATACCCAGAAATTCATACACAGATGTCCTCAAGAACACATGACAGTGGATAAAGGCGTTAGTTAGATCCAGTGACAGGACCCAAAGAGTGAGAGTTCAATACCCGGTTAGGAGAGGGGAATTAACAGGAGATAACTGACATCCATTAAACATGGCACGTGGAACAAGAACAGTCTACCCTAGTGAGCAAAATAAAGGGTTCAGTTCGAGATTCCAACTACCTGAAGAAGGCCGGAGTGTACAACAGCCGAAACATTGTAATAAATACGGTGACAAAGATTAGGACAATAGTTCGAATAATGTAAATAGTGTACATAATACCACATCTCAGAAATATAGACAGATCCTAGAATGATCTCTCTTCTAACCTCGAGGGATTTGTATTTATTGATGTTTGCCCAAAACTGATATGAGGTGGCTAAGTATCCAGCATTTTCTCCATTGCCTGGGTTCTGGGAATTACTTCCTAAATTGGAAGTCTCTCCCTTTTTTTTGTTGGTGGTCATAGGCATTAATCTGCACCAAAACTTCTTCCTTCTCTTCTTAGCATCTCCCACTAATACCCCTTTGTGGGCGTGGGCAGTTGCGCCTACTACTCTTCAATGGGTGTGGGCAGCTCCTCCACCTTCCTTGATTTCGACCACCCATTCCAAGTTTAATTTAAGCAACTGTCACCAGTTCCTGGTCTTATAGTTGAACAAAAAACAGATGACCCTCTCCAATGCTACAGATACTCCTTTATCTCCACAATAAATTTTTCACAGCCAGGGCCAATAACAATCATCCATCAAATGTCAAAATTATCTACCATATGGCCAGTCATAAAATTGAGTGTTGTTCTACTTAGTTGCCTGGTTCTTTTAAAAAATTTTGACTTTCTGGAAAATAAAATCTTTGGTATTTCTCATGATAGTTTATTAGTATATTGTTCTTGCTATCTAAAAACCTTATTATTCATAATAGTTTATTGGTCTCAAATAGGGTCACATTGGAATGTTAGTACATTCTTTCAGGTAGAGGTCTGATTCCAATTGGTTTTGAACCACGATCGGGGCTTAATCTATAGGAACTCTGTAGCTCAAATATAGTGTAAACAGAAAATGTCTTTCTTTCATTTCCCCCCCACACACACACACACCTCAATGAATATCTTTAATATTAATCTCTTGGTTATTTTATAGATGTCCTGTACCCACAAATGTAACCAGGTTTGTCATTCTGGAGAATGTGATCCAAAAGGATGTGATAAAAAGAAATCTATCCGATGCAAATGTAAAAGACGGAAAAAAGAATTCTCTTGTCTTCAAGTGATGTCAGGCAAAGCTCAGCTTCCATGTGATGAAGGGTGCAACGAATTAAAGCTAAAACAACAGAGGGTAATTTCTTCTTTTTGAATCATAGATTTTATAGAAGGGTACTAAAAAGTTCTCAGCCTGGCAAACTTTTCAAAATTATTAAATGTAAGAGCTTACTTTGGGACTATTCTTGGTCAGACTGAAAAGTATTTTGTTCAGCATTCACACAAACACATTGTTAAATATATATTATATAATATATTTTTAAAAATGTATATATATAAATATATATATATATATATATATATATATATATATATATATATATATATATTTTGCTATAACTCAGAGGTCTTAAATTTAAGAATTTAATTAAGAAAAGTAGATAATAAACTATTTACGATTCAAGAATTAGTCTTTCTGATAAAACAGCAATCCTTAACATCCTTAAAAATAGGCATATATTGCAAATATTATATTTATCTTTGTTTTGGTGAAACATTCACTTATGTGCTAATACCCTTGAGATCTTCAAGGAAATGAATGTGTCAAATTAAACAAAATCCAATGGTTACTCATCAAGGGTTGCAGGATGATTTGCTTTCATCAGGAATTTGTGTCACTAAATCAACAATAAGCAATGAATTTCATAGGAACAATCTAAATTCATGCTCCTCTCGGAAAACTCCATTTCTATTGAAAAGATGCCAGGTTGAAATTTGTTTGTGAACATAAAGGTAAGGAAAAATCATATTGAGAAAGGGTATTATGGACAGACAAAATCAAAACTGAATTGTTTGGACGTAATTACAGAAATAATGTATGGAAGAAAGATGACAATGCCTTTAAACAAGATAATGATCATAAGCACACTGCAAAATTTACAAAGCAATGGCTTGCTGAAAATAATGTAAATATCCTGAAATGGCACAGATTTAAGCCCAATCAAGAATCTGTGATGTTATTTGAAAATTCAAATCCAGTAAGAGCTCTGGCAAACATCCCAGATCTGAAGACTATATGCAAAGAAGAATGGAACAAAGTACCAACTAAAATTTGCAAATTACTAATTGAGAAGAGGTTGGTTAGTGTAGAAGTCAATAATGGCTATTCTACAAAGTGTTAAGTGAAGATTATGTATTCTTTTTTGTATTGTTCGAATACTTTTTTTCACCCATTAAAATGGATAAATGGGAATTATTTCTATTGAATCAAATTTTTGTCTGTTTCCTATGCATATTTAGTTATTATGCATCTGTGTACAGTTAATTATATGAAAAGTATATTTATTCATTAGTTGAAATACAATAAATTAAAAATTTGTATGTGTACAAATATTGGTTTCCCCCACTAATATATATATATATACATAAAGGTGAGGAATGGGTTAAGAATATATCGACAAATTTGACATCACAATGGGATCACTAGACTCAAGCTGAGTCTTCTGATCTCATTTTTCTTTTTATATTATACAATCTTACAGCACACTATGAAATTAATATAGATGATATTGGTTTGTACAGGGACGACAATAATGGTCATTAGAAACTCAAGAACTTAAAAAATAGATAGAATTAGAAAGTTATTATATAAAGAATTTAAAAAGCATGGGCTTAAAAATTACAGTTAGTACTAAATTAAAAAAAGTAGACTTCCTAGATATAACTTTAGATTAAATAAAAAATACATACACACCTTAAAAAAACCCAACACCAATCCTTTTTATATATACATCCTAAATCAAATCATCCCCCATCTATAATTAAACATATACCGTTATCTATAAGAAAAAAAGAATTAGTACAAATTCAGCTAATAACAAGATTTTTTGATGAGCATATCAATGGCTATAATAAGGCTCTAAAAGATAGTGGCTACAAAACCCAAAAAACTAACTTATATAAAAAATGAAAATGGAAAACATAGAAAAAACAGATGTAGAAAAATTATTTGGTATATTCCCCCATATAACCAAATGGTAAAGAACAGATTAGGACATAAATTCCTCACATTAATAGTCAAAAGCATTTTCCTAGTGAAAATAAACTAAGTACTATTTTCAATAAAAAACACACTAAAAAATTAAGTTATAGCTGTACAAAGAACTTAGAAAAAATCATTAAGAACCATAATGCTAATATCTTAAATAAACACTTATTTAAAAAAAAAAAAATTTAGACAATAGAAAATTAAGATAAAAACTGATGTAAATAAACAAAAAACTATGTAATTGTCGAAACCCTCAAAATTGCCCACTACAAAATAAATGTTGCACTGAATCATTAGTATACCAATGCAATATCTCTTCGATTGAAAATCCTGATAACATAAAAAAAATATATATAGGTTGCACTAGCCATGAAAAAAAAAAAAGATTCAACCAACATCAAACTTCATTTAGAATAAATAAATATAAAAATCAAACATCTCTCTCAAAATATTTCTGGCATCTAAAAGAATCAAATAAAACACCTACAGTAAAATGGAAGTTAATAAGAAAAGCTAGAATTTGTAGATCATTAAACGACCCGTGTCCTCTATGTATACAAGAGAAACTATATATTACTAAGTTTATAAAAAATAAAAATTTACTGAATCAGAGAAATGAAATAGCTATTATATGCCGTCATTGTCAAAAATTTTCCTTAAATAATATATAAAAAAAAAAAAAAAAAAAAAAGTCTATTGGAATGGCAGGAAAAATAATTTTTTAAACTGTTATTTATTTAAAATTGTGGTTAAAAACGTATTAAAACATAAACACCGTTTAAAAAATTGTAGTTAAATAAAATGTATCCTAACCGAAACACCTCTATAATAAATGTACTACAAACACTTGAATGAATCCGATAAAACACCTCCTGAAAAATGAAATTATAACTAAAAGCTAGATGATGTAATTAATGTATGACCCATTGTTCTTTGTACATACATATGAAACTTTATTACTCAGGTTACATATATTTAAAATAAATAATTTAATTAATTAATACATAAAGTTTACTAAATCTGAGAAATGACTTTAGATAGTTTTGTAGTCTGTGCCATTTATATTACTTAAATATTTAAATATAATAGTTTAAAATTGTAATTTATATATACTTTTTATGGAAAATAATTATACTTACTATGAGTAATTATCCTTCTGTTATAAAGTAATATAGTCAATTAAAACTAACAATGAAAATATTTTAAAATTTTAATGTGGTAATTTTAAAATTGTAATTAAAATTGTAGTTAAATAAAATGAATTCTAACCTGTTCTTGGTACATACATATGAAACTTTACTACTTAGGTTACATATATTTAAAATAAATAAATAAATTAAGTAATAAATAAAGTTTACTAAATCTGAGAAATGACTTGGCTAATTTTGTAGTAAGTTCCATTAATATTACTAAAATAATATTTTAAAATATAAAGGTTTAAAAATTGTAATTTACATATACTTGGATATTGAAAAATAATTTTACTTACTATGAGTAATATTCCTTCTGTTATAAAGTAATATAGTCTAATATAACTAACAATGAAAATATTTCAAAAGTTTAAAGTTTGTAATTTTAAAATTGAAACTAAAATTAAAAATTAAATTGAATGAATTCTAACCTAAGTTTCTTTTAAATAATACTACAAATTTAAAAAAGAATCCCAAAAAAAAGCAAATATAGTAAAATAAAATTAATATGAAATGCCATAAGATGTAAGCTTTTGAATGACCCATGTCCTTTGTACTTACATGAGAAACATTATATCACTAGGTTTATATATATATCAAAAAAAAAAAAAAAAAAAAAAAAAAAAAAAAATGTAACCTCATATACATACTTAAACTTGAATTAATACATAAAGTTTACTAATTCTGAGAAATGACTTAGATAGTTTTGTAGTCTGGGCCATTAATATTACTTAAATAATATCTAAATTAAAAGTTTAAAATTGTAATTTACATATACTTTGATTGAAAAAATTTTTTACTTACTATGAGTAATTATCCTTCTGTTATAAAGTAATATAGTCTAAATTAAAACTAACAATGAAAATATTTTAAAATTTTAAAGTTATAATTTTAAAATTTTAAAATTGAAATTAAAATTGTAGTAAAATAAAATGAATTCTAACATGTTATTTATACATACATATGAAACTTTATTAATTAGGTTACATATATTTGAAATAAATAAATTAATTAATTAATAAATAAATAAAGTTTACTAAATCTGAGAAATGACTTAGCTAGTTTTGTAGTAAGTGCCATTAATATTACTTAAATAATATTTAAATTTTAGAAGAAAAAAAAAAAAAAAAAAAAAAAAAAAAAAAAATTTACATATACTTTGATATGGAAAAATAATCTTACTTAATATGATAATTTTCCTTCTGTTATAAAGTAATATAGTCTATTAAAACTAAACAATGAAAATATTTTAAAATTTTAAAGTTGTAATTTTGAATTTGTAATTAAAATTGTAGTTAAATTGAATGAATTCTAACCTAAATTTCTTTTTAAATAATACTACACGCATTAAAAAGAATCCAAAAAATAACACCTATAGTAAAATAAAATTAATATGAAATACCATAACATGTAAGCTTTTGAATGACCCATGTCCTCAGTACTTACATGTGAAATATTATAATAATAGGTTTATATTAAAAGAAAAGTTTACTGAATCAGTGAAATTAAGTAACCATTTCTGCTGTCATAGTCATATACAAAAAAAAAAAAAAAAAAAAAAAAATGTAACCTCATATACATACTTAAACTTAATGTTAAAATAATCCTACATAATATAATGGATTCTAATACATTTAACTGTTCTTAAAAAGAATATAGTAAAATAAAAATAAAAAGGAAAATATTTCAAATCGTAGTTAAATAAAAAAAGTAAAAAAAAAAAAAAATTTAATTTTAAAAGATGACGTTGAAAAATTTTTACCGTTAACAATTTTTTTTTTTTTTTTTTTTTTAAAAAAAATTCAGACGACATCCATTCAACCGACGTCAGGTTTCAGTGTAAAATACATCCTCACCCCTTACCAAAATGTAGCTAATAACTGATACAATGATACTGTCATAAGGAAAATCTAGACA